TACCCTAGTCTAATCACTAGAGGTCCCCGAGTTAGCTGTGCGATAGGAAAAAGATGAAATGTCTGTGCAACCTGATCAGGGCCCTTACGTGACAACAACATGCCTTTTTTTCAACTGCCAATACGCTTGTGGCAGAAACGCGTACAAAAACAGTACTGTCGAAAAGAAAAGGTAATCCCTCCCACACTGGGAAAAAAACGCGAACCCATTTCTTTCCGCAGTAGATCCAACACACATTATTCTTAGCTCCCAAGCTTCTTCCCCTTGTGAAACATCCCGATCTCCAACTCTCTTGCTTCTCTGCGTTTACCTACAAAGTGTTGCGCCTGAGTTCCGTGGGGATTTCACCCTTGTTGGAGGGAAACGCAGAGATTGTTGAGGAGTGTGAAAATCGGAGAGTATGTGTGAAGACATGGACATTTTTTGAGGGGGGAAATAAACTTTTTTTCGTCGGCCGAAGGCATTATCTGTCGTGATCGTTATTCTGGGCCTTTCGGTGAAGCGAGTGGCTGGAAAAACAGGTAGGGCGACAGTACTGTTGTACGGTTTTCTGCACCAACGTATGAGTTGAAAAGGCATGTTGTTGTCAACGCAAGGGCACTGATCAATCGTTGCAGCAGACATTTGTAATTACATTTGGTGTCTGTTAAGAGGAGCAAAAGGCACTCCCCTTTAAGGATATGCCCCCCAAGGAAGTGTTATAGCAACTAACTGGGAAGCTCTTGGCCATTAGCTGCAGGATCTCCAGTTTGGCTAGAACGCGAATTCGGTCGTATGCTTTTTCCCTATCGACAGGTACTTGGGGACCTCTAGTTGATCAAGAGCTAGGGTAAAGAAATCTGCCGAAGTTCCCTTTAAAAATTAAAAGAACATGGGTAAAAAATTTTCTTTATTAAAAAATAAGATTAGCACTAATATGTCCTCAGACGTGCTTAAGTAAGACAGGTTAAACTGAAATAGCTGTTGAGAATGTACATTCTCATTTTAATATTCTGGTGGGCAGAATTCTCCTTTATTTTGTCCTGTGTGACCTGCGCTGGGACTGCCTGTTTGGACACCGGATTGCCAGGTATGAACATACGGGCAAGCACAGCGAGCTGCAGCCATGGCAGCGAATCAGTGTATCGCGCAGAGATAAATGTTGGAGTTGTCTGACCTAAACAGGCCTCTGCAGTCTGTATACCAAGAGCTCCATGCAAGAGACCGTGGTCAAACATGGGTAAATGTTGGAAGATACATTTGAAAGATGGAGACAGCTTTGGTATAGAAAAGGCTTCAAGGACTTATGTGGAGTTGTGTCTGTAGTGTATGAGGAGCAGACTGTTTGTTGTTTACTCTTGACAACAAACCAACATGACAGAAGTATCACAGAACCTGCCGAAGTTCCCCTTTAAGTGGTTTTCACCCACTGAAAATGTTTTCACATGCAGAAGTGAAAATTTTACAGATAATAATGCAGCGATAGGAACTTGGACCAGAGGTCATTTTTGAATCCATGGCTGCTGCAACAAAGACTCAGCCTTGGTACATGGGATGCTAGCTCTAAAAGGTGAGCTACAGGGCTTCCTTTTGTGTTTATTTAATTTAATTTAGTTTTTGCCACTGCAAACACATTTGTTCAGTTTAGTTGCAATAAAAGGAATAAGAGAGTGTGAGAAATAAACAAATATGTGAAAAACTGTCAAGGAAAGGACCACAATATTGTAGAAGATGCAATGATGCTGAAAAAAACATTGCCATAGCTTCAGGCAGCGGTGAGCAGGCCCTCGCAGTCCCAACAAGCTGGTTGTGCTGTGGTCACTACATGTGTTAACATATTATGTGTAGACCACAATGTGAAATTTTCATATAAATCCGATGATGATTGCCATTAAAGGCTGACTTCCCGTTCCCAGTAGGTGGTGCGTGTAGATGTGTTCATGGCAAGATTCTTACCATTTTGCCCAGCCTATGTGTGAGAGACATACATTTTTGCCACCTCTGACAAGTGTAATTCAATCGACACATTTGGCTGTTTTCTGTCAGGTGTCAGGCTTATAAGTTTAGAATATATTATACAGATTAATATCCTGTGTTTTTAGCCATCCAGCTATTAGTTGAGTCCCTAGCAGTGCTAAATGGTGGAGTTTGAAAGAGAGTAGCTGGTGGAGTAAAGATCACTATGGCTGACAGAGAAGGGAAAAACAAAACAAAACCAAAAAAAGCAGTGAGACAGATCGAGAATGATTATATTGTTAAGGCCGCCTGGAGGGAGGAAGGACTTGAGGTGGGGATGATGGGTTGAAGAAAAGAGTGATAGATATAAAAAAGAAGGGAGAGGGTGGATAAGGTTGAGTAAGTGTCTGTCTACATGTGGTTTAAATATAGTGTCGGAACATCCACACTCAGCTTCTCCCTCTTCTCCTCCGCCTCTTGGGTCCTCAGAGACCTGGAGAAGTGTCTATTTCACTGCCCTATGCAGGCGAAGATAGTGGATGATGACTTGACAGAGACAAGTCTAGGGTTTAAGGAGCCGTGTGAGTGTTGAAGAGTTCGTAAAAAATACATTCACATAAACTATTCCAGTTCAGAAGCTGTTTTGTTTTATCTATGCATTTGATGAGTTAAAATTCACACAAGTCATGTCACTGTGGGGACAGTGACTTACTGTATTGATGAGGAATGTATGTGGGAAAGGAAGCTTGACATCAATGATTACCCAATATGGCAGACACTATTCTAAGAAACCATAAAGTACACCTAAATGAACCATCATTATATGCCTCATTTTTGATTTTCTTATACTGTATATATAGAGAGAACCTGTATACAGTGTTACTAGGCAACATGAGCTAGACCATGTACAGTATTTATGAGAAAAACAATATCCCTTTATACCTCAGAGTAACTTTCACAAGTTCTCAAAGTTAATATTACAGTGCACAACACTATAAGGTTCTATAGTGTACTAGGTACTATTACATTTGTCACGGTGAACATTAGTTAAGCCTGTTATCACCAAAAAAATTATATCATTTATACTTTTTAACCCATTATGACTCCACAATGGCTGCAACACTACTTCATCAAAAATGTCACATTTGTGACACTTAGTTTGACTGCATTAACCAATAAAATTAACCTGACATCTTCATAATCAATCAGCAATTATCATTCCTAGTGGATAGCAACAAACATAATCTGTATGTGTTTATTTTACAAATTCCAATTTTAATTTATGAATTAACAAGGTCTTGGTGACTGTAAATCTTCTATATTTGTCTATTATATTATCTGTGAGGTTTGAAGAAAACTGTTGTGCTTCTGCTTAAAGATATTTTAAAGCAGTAGTTTCTTATATGCATACAAGGGGCATGCGTGACCGGGGAGGAATGTGAAGTAAAAGCTGGAAAAACTTTTGTCACAGAAGATATTTTGACTCATGAAACACAGGTGTAACTTAAAGTTCTTGTGTATAACATTTAGGAGGATCTATTGGCAGAAATTGAATATAATATGCATTACAATGTTTTTATTAGTGTATAATCACCTGAAAATAGGAATTGTTATGTTTTCGTTACCTTATTTGAAAATGTAAAATGTAGAAAATAATATAATATAACAGACACATTTGGTTCAGCTGCCTGATAATCTAGTCTAGTTCTCACAATATTATGCTATTAGCTTTGGCTATACAATGTAAACATAAGCCTATAGGCCACGGCTACAGCTTTCTGTCTCATAATAGCTGTGTCAGGCTCATTCAAACTGGCTCCCCAAGATTTTCATTTATACATTTTCATATATATAAAATGACATTTATAGTAACGCTTTGCTGATTACTTGATGGTTTACTGAGATGGGCATCCATATTACCCAGTATACCCAGCCAATCAACACTTTAAATTCAATATGTATATAATACAATATACAAAATTATGCTCATAAAATGTCTGAACTGGTCCCCACAGAGGTTGTTGTTGCAGGAAAGCACAAGTATAAATAACACATAAAAGCATATTTTTATCTAGAACTTTAGATGTGCACAATACACAGCAAACTATATTGGAGACACAGAGCACAGGTCCTGTTTCCATATGTTGAATGACATGATTAATTGACTATTAATTGACCAAAGTTCATAGGAGACCACTAATTCAGCATTCACATCCAAATACAAAAAGGTAGGCTGTCTCTTGCCTTTCACTGTATCTTTCGGGCATGATTGCACATGATTAACAGCTCCAACTGGGCTTTTTTCATAATTTGCTGCACATTTGTTTTTTTTCTGCTGCAATTAACTGCTATTGTTTCATCTGAGGTCACTCTTGTACACCTCTGCTTTTTGCCACTTTACACCTCTGATGATTCCTTGTGTGTAGCAGATTTCCGTCAGAAACAACCTGGTGCTTTCTGTGTCTGTGTTGTTATATATCGAAACGCTACATAAGGCTTATAATTATTATCAGTCTAACGTAAAGGCAAAGGACATTAAAAATAAAATCTGTCACACACACACACAAACACAAATGCAGAACTTGGTTTCCCTTCATTATTTTTAAGGAGTTGCCTCTTCTATTGCTCCACGATTGTCATTTTCATCGTCACCATTCAAATCACGTCTAAATGGCTGCA